TATATATATTATCATTATCATTTTTATTTTTAATTGATTTTGATCGTCAATATGTACTTTCAAAATTTTATTAATTCTAGAGAATATAAAAGTGTTATCCAAATTTAAGATTAAAATAATTATTTACTCAATTTATTTATAACTATATAATAAATATTTATTATAAATAAATTCATTAATATATAGATATTTTAAACAGATAAATTATACTATAATTAAAATTTAGTATAAATAAATATGGCTTAAATATATTTTTAGTCCCTCAAATTTAAGGTAAAGTTGCTTTTGGTCCCTCAAATTTAAAACTGTTGTTTTTAGTCCCTGTAATTTTCAAAAATCTTGTTTTAGTCCCTTAGGTCACCAATAACATATTTGAAAGTGACTAATTAAGACAGTTATGTAATATCAACCGGATTTAATGTGATATTTTCACTAATAGGAACACCAATAAGTAAATTTTATACAATAATGTTTGATAAATTTCTTAACAAAATTTAAATATAAGAACTAAATTAAGATTTTTTTTGAAATTATAAAGACTAAAAACAAAAATTTTAAATTTGAGGGATTAAAAATAGATTTACCCTAAATTTGAGGGATTAAAAACATATTTAAGGCAATAAATATTTATGATTAAAATTCATAATAAGTACAATACTTTTATTTATTTATTTAAATTAATGAAGAGGTATTTAGGAAACGAATCGACTTATTCCTTGAGGCCTTGACTATATAAGCAAGACAAGACTGGTTAGCGATTCGGAGACTGACAGCAGTGTGACATAACCGGAAAAGAATGCCTCCGCGGCGGTGCACGGCGCCAGCGACGCTGCAGACGAGCAGCGACAGCGACGACTTGGAGGACTTCATCATGCGGTGCCTCTCGTGCGAGGAGGAGTACGACGCGGACGACGCCGGCACGTGCAAGGAGTGTTATCAAGAGGCCAACGAGGCCGAGGAGGAGCTCCGCCACGAGATCGAAGAGCTCAAGGCCAAGCTCTCCTTCCTCGCTCTCCCCTCTCCCCTTCTCAATCCCTCCACCGGTGACCTCGTTCTCCTTCCCGCTGACGACTCCTCCGCTGTTCCTATCCCCGCTCACAAGCACATTCTGGTAAGCCAATTTTTCCTTTTATCTTTTGTGAATTCATAATTAGGAGTTAATTGCCACAGGATATATATGTGATGTGCTCCGATTTTTTAGTCTTCGCGGTGGTGACCGTGATCGGAGAACACTGCACAGCGTCCGCGGTGTGATTTAGCCTTGTGTGATTGAGTATTGATCCTCGTTTCGACTGATTTTTTTATGTATTCGAAAAATTGAAGTTACGCGTGGAAGGTTTATGAGATCAATTTGCCTTTCTACGATGAAGCTTGTGTTTTTAAGCTGTAACGTGGATGGATTTCTTGTGTTGATAAGTTAGAGCAGATAAGATTTAGATTTTAAGGAGTTTAGGGTTTTAAAGAATGTGGCATAAGGCTTGTTTTACTAAAGGGGTCTTAAAGAATGTGAATTTGGACCCTAATTCCACCCTATAAAATGGTTGTAAGATGAAGATTGTCCACTTGTCCCCACTTATATACAATGTTTTTATTAGTTGATATAGGATCTTCAACAAACTCCCTTTACACCGAGAACTAAACATCTTTAGTGTGAAGTTTGTAGAACTGAATATTTGCATGTGTCAAATAACAGTTCGATTGGCTTTATGACAATTGTTAGAATAGGTTCTAATATCATCTTATGAATGTAGATTTAGACATAATTCAATTTTACAAACTTTGTATTGTGTAATTGCATACAAAATGCGACACAAGGCTTGTTTTGCTAAAGGGTTTCAAGAATGTTGATTTGAGTTTAGACTCTTACTCAATCTACAAAACTGACTTGTATAATAAGAGTTGTTTCCTTAATAGTTAATACTATTTCAACTATATTACTAATTGATGTAGGACTTCTAACACACACCTCTCAAACTAAGAATTGAACTTCTTGAGTGTGAAGATTACGTGATTGAGCATTTACTTGCTTTTGATAACAACTTGATAGACTTGGCAACAAGTATTAAGATAGATTCTAATACCATCTAATGAATGCAAATTTGGATTAATCATTCTATAAAACTAGCTTGTAAAGTGAGGGTTGTTCTCCACTTATATATACTACTTTGATCATATCAATACTTAATGTGAGATATCTAATGACCCTTTGAGAAAGATCAAACTTTAAGCTGATGACAGTAGACTTTTACATTGCATGCTATACTAGATTGTGTTACCTTACCTATGTTGTCCAAATTCAGGATAGTAGTGAAGTAGTATTATAATATGCTATAATAATGATCAATTGAGTTGAGAAAGGCTAACTTTTAAACAAACTGATGAATAACTTGCTTCAATTATTTATTTGAACTTATAGTTACCACGTCCTGTTAACTGGACAGGAGGAAATGTATTAAACTTCATCTTAAAAATTTGGGTTGAAAAAAGTGTTGGTACTTGGGTAACAATCCTTGGTAAAGTATCAATTACTGAACAAGCAGGTAACACGGGGAAATGCATTAAACATTTAAACTTCATCTTAACAAATTGGGTTAAAAAAAGTGTTGGTACATGGTTGACAATCCTTGGTGAAGTATCAATCACTGAACTAGCAGGTTGCATTAGTGAGGTTTTCTAATCAAAATTTGGCTTCTCCCTTTCGTATTTTTGTTTTTCTAATTTTCTTTTTGAAATCTTTGACAATGAGTGACGTGTGGATTTACTCTGAAGCTGTATGTAGATTGGATTCGAGAATCTTGTGTTGCATACCACATTGAATTGTCTCAATTCAGATATGTATTGATTACCCAAATTTAACATGAAATTTTTTAATCCCAGATTGTTTTGTTTAATTAATAAACGAGGGACATAACGCTCCAGACCAGGATACCCTGCAATTGTAATTCAATGGTGTCATATATTTATTAAAATTTTAATTTTAACTAGTAATATAAAATTAAGGGTGTGGATTTTGTTCAGTTGAAAAACAAACTGCAGGGAATCCAAATCCCATCGCACCATACTCTGTGTTTTGCTTTCTGTTGCAGTTAGGCATCCTTGATTAGATTTACTATATTAACGTTTCTCTGATTTATTCATGTGTTTTGGCTGTTCTTAATGAAAATATTTTATATATGACTAGGTTAGTCGCTCTCCTGTTTTCAAAGCAATGCTTGAGAATGATATGACGGAAAGCCGGAGTGGCACCATCAAGATCTCAGATGTATCATATGATACCCTTCGTGCTTTTGTTGACTATTTATACACTGCTGAAGCATCCCTTGATAACCAAATGGCCTGTAACCTGTTGGCCTTAGGAGAGAAGTATCAGGTGAAGCATCTTAAGACATACTGTGAGAAGTATTTGATCGCCAAAATGAATTGGGATAAAGCTATTGCAAACTATGCCTTCGCATATCAATACAATTGCAAACAATTACTAAATGCGGCCTTGGCAGTGATCTTGGACAACATGGATTGCCTCACTCAAAATGAATATTATGCGGAGCTGGTGGACAGTCATCCTCGTCTTGTTGTGGAAATATATGAAACATATCTTGTCAGACAATTAAATACTGCAGGCGCCTTTAGGTTACAGGATCAGAGCTAAGGAAGCTAGCCAATTCTGTTTTAAGCTGGGGTGATACTTCAGCTAGGATTATATTATTGATTGATGATTACTGATTAGTCTGTGGTAGTATTTTAATTGTACATTATTATCATTTACTACTACAGTTAAACATGCAATTGGACCCACCACCTGTTCTATTATAATATTTTCTTTCTGGATTAAATTTTAGTTCTTGATTAGATTGTATATCAGGTATTGTTAATTTTTATTAGTGTGGTGATCATCGTTGGAGATTCGTTGTTGTTCCTTCAAAATATGTTACAACTGTTGAAATCCCATCTTTGCTCCTTCAGTGCCCTTGTTGCTGTCTGACTTCTTTAGGAGTGGGTGAAGGGATTTATGGAAAAGGAATAAGTGAAACGAAATAAGACATGCTTCTGCCAAATCAAGGATAAGAAAAATGATGTTGCTAAATGAGATGTGGGAATTCGAGTGAGTTAAGTGTAGAAGAGTAAAAAATAGTTCGGTTTGGGTTCCAAAAATGTGGCTTGAAAAAGAATTAGTTAATTTGTTTAGGCATGATGGCCAATAAAATAAAATGGATCAATTTGGTATCAAGTTAGATATAGTTATAACCCCAAGTGTGTGGTTCAGCGGTAGGAGTTGATTCACGCTTAAGCAAGGTCAGGGGTTCGAATCCTGCCTTGTGTATGCAATTACGTTAAATCTTGGGGCCAGCTATCTCACCCTTTAAGGTGTCTCCAACGTAGCGAGGAGATTAATCATTGCTGTGGTCCAGTGGATACTCCAGGCACGAAAAAAAAAAAAATATAGTCATAAAATAAGTTACTTGTAAGAAGTTAGTCAAATTAGCTCACTAGTAAGTATTGACTTACCTGTTAGACAAGTATAGAATATCATAAATTACTACTATACAGGCTATTTACATAAGTGTATATGTCACAAAGATTATAAAAGGTGAGTCTCAAATGACCAATTCAACTCGTCTTCAATCTACTTGAAAAAATAAGGTTAGTTAGGTTAAATTTGTTTTTATTGGGTTAGAAATCTCAATCCAACTCAATTTAACCCATATGGCATAGACTAGATTATTTTGTCAATCCATTAATTTTTTTTATAAAATTTTTATTCATTTTTTTTTCTTCTTCAAATTTTATAATTAAATATAATTTAAAACTGTTATAAAAATAGTAATAATTCAAATGTTCAAGTTCGTGTACTTAATGAGTCTATTGATAATAATATTTTAAAAATAGTATACAATACAATAATAAATAAATTTATTAACAACAATAAAATAAGTCTATAATACAATCATCTCTACATAAATTACAATAGATATCTTAAATAAGAGTATTTTTATAATTATTGAACGATTTTAGGAATTTTTTTACAATAGCAATTTTACAGGTTCTTTAACCTTTTATCCATTTTAATTCATATAATTATAAATTAAATTTATTATTTGTAAAATAAATTATCATGGTTAAAAATAATTTTATATGTCATAATATAAATTATTTACTATAAATCTAAAATATAATTTATATATTTAAAATTAATATTCTAAATTTTAAATTATAATATAATTTATATACAAAAATTATTTACTTATTATGAGTTTTAATTATATAAAATAAATATTTATTTTGTACATTATACAAGTTAAAACACTAAATAAAAATAAGTTTTAATGAACAAAGAACCAAAAATAAAACAACATAGATCAATACCTATGACTAAAAGTAAGGGGAAAAAAGGACTACCAATCAAACTTGTTGAGTTAACAGGTTGTGGGTTATGCAAGTTGGAGAATTGAATTGATAATAATATAGTTCAATTATTCTTTTGTTTCTTAATGTTTAATTGTAATACCATGTCATGTCTTCATAAATAGAATTGATATATAAATATCCATTTTGATGACCAGTTAAAAAGAAATTACATGAAAAAATGTTATTCAATTTGTACATTAATTTTTATAAGAAAGATAAAGCAAAAAAAAAAAAAAAGCATAAGAAATAATAAACAATATGATAAAGAAAAACAGACATAAGAATTAAGAATTTTTTTTTTTGTCACAATGCCATAATTTTTTTTTAATAATTGAAATGTCACATTTCATTTATTATTTATGAAGATGCCACAATTTTGTATGTAGTGAGAAATCAGGTATTCGACTTCTCAACGTAGTTTTTCTTTTTAAATTTCTTCTATTATTGATTCCTTAGCTACGTATCTCAACAACTTTTTCTTTCACTCTATCTTCACTGAACAAAAAAAGAAGGAAAAAAAAAAAAAAGAGTACTGTTTGATTACTATGATTTCAGCTTGGATCTTAAAAAGCTCGGGATAATCAATTACCATATCCCGTAATCGATTACCCTGTTGATATTTGTGTTTCTGGTTCATTTTAAAGAGTTGGTAACAGATTACCATATCAGGTAATAAATTACCTCTGTTATTATTCTTTATAACTAAATCACGTCTTGCACTCTATAAAATCAATCTTTTTGAAATTAAAAAGAGAACTTTTTAGAGAAATTTTAATACTTTTTGAAAATATTTTGAAAGAAAAACATTTGAGAAAAAGATTACTTTCAGAAACAAGATTGAAGGCTTATCAAAGAATTTTTCTGAAATTTCAAGAAGTGTAAAGATATAACATGAATTTTTGAAAGAAGAAATTCAAGAAGTGTATTCAAGAGTGAAAGATCAATATCTACACGAAATTAGGTGATATCTTTCTAATCTTTAAACTTGTATTTTCATTTTGATAGGTGTATCTCTTGAGATAGGGTTTCTCAACAAGAGATGTTGAAATCTTGAGTAGGATTTCTCAAGTAATTTCTGTGGGGTACAGAAATTTTGTTTGGTTTCAATCTTGGGGTGTCAAGATTGATGTTTGTTTGAATTCTTGTAATATTGTGTGTGCAACGTGTTTGTAAATAATATTATAGTGAATGATCTTTGATTTAATGAGGTGCTAAATCAAGGAAAACTAGATATAGGCCAAGTGGATGGTTGAACCAGTATAAATTTATGTGTCCTTTATCTTTTTACCCTTATCTTTAAAGAATCTTGCTAATATCTTGTTTAAAGAATATAAAGATTTCTGAGATATGAAATTTCAATTGCAGTACCAACTTTGATCTTTATTCTTGTAATTGAAATTTATTAAAAAGAAGGTAATATAAAATCAACCTTAGTTACAAGTGATTATTTCGCTACATTAACATTGATATTCTGATATGTTGGTAATAAACCTTGTAATCTTCTATTCTTTGTTAATTCAAATTGAGTAAAGGTTGTATTTTAGATATCTATGTTATGATAGAATCTATTCAACTCCCCTTCTAAATTCTAGTAAACTGGGACCAACAGTCTCCAGACTCCGTTCAGGGACGTCTTAGTCTCCCCTCTATGAATATTCACTATGCATTTTTTGTGTATCTTTTCAGTACCGTTCTAATTCCATAAGGGTCAAGAGAAAAGAAATAAAATGATGTTTGTAGACTACTTTTTTCAACAAAAAAAAAAGAAAAGAAAAAAGAGGTTTTTCAAAAGAGATTTTTTTTTTCAAAAAAAGGGTTTTCAGAAGAATGGTTGGCTGAGGTAGGCTTTAGTATTTAGGGTTATTTAATAAAACATATTTGTTACAGGGAAGTTATCATTGTGTTTTAGCCTTTTTGGAAAGTTGAGTGATGACTTGGGGTCGCGCTTTGGTTAGATGATCCCCCCTGAGCTGCCTTTCGATTTTCGACTTAGGTTCCTGCTTTAGTGTCCTAACTTTTTCCTAGGTTACTTGGAATGTGTTTCTTAGCGGACATTTTTCTTTTGATCCTTATTTTTTTCCTAGGTTACCGTTTTACTTCGGCGGTTTGCCGAGGTTTCCGTTCTATTGGCATCCCAAACCGTCTAGGTTTCACGGCTTAGGAGATCAGAAGGTGACGGCCGCGGAGGCAGCCGCCATTAAGAATCTTGCCACGCTCCCTCGTCCGCTGGATTGCAAGCTCGTTCTGTCGCTTGCAAATTCGCCTTATAGGGAGAGGGGCCTAGAGAGTGAGTATTGCACGCTTCAATAGATTGCCGGGCTTGTGTAGTTGCCTTTTACTGACGTGCTTCTGTTTCTTATCTGCAGGCATTATGGGGAAAAACTTGTGGCGAGAGCTTAAGTACCGCTACAACATTACCGAGCTCGAGGTTCCTGAGCCTCCGGAGGAGGATGTTGCCCCCCTGAAGGCTAGTGGGAAGAGAAAGAGGGGGGGAAAGAGGCCGAGGGAACCTCAGCCCCTCCAGGTGCCGAGGAGGTGATCTCCAAGGCCGCTGATGCTGATGCGGTGGGTCTCACTGAGAGTCCACCACCCCAGGTGGCTTCTGAAGAGGTGGCTCAGACTGCTGAGCCTACTGTGCAGGCCGTCGAGGTGGAGGCCCGGACTGCCGGGCAGGCTGCCCGAGTTGCCTAGGTGGTGAGTATCGTCTTTCTCGGACTTTCCCTTTGCCTTTTGTTATGTTATCCGGCTGTCCGATCTGGGTGATTTTTTGCAGGCAGGAAATACCGTGGAACCTGAGGTGCAGGCCGCTGAGCTGGTCGCCCAGGCTGCTGAGGTGGGTGGTGTTTTGTCTTCTTGTTTCCGTGGTTTCTCGTACATCACATTGCTTGTTTTTGACGTGGGACTGGTTTTTTGTAGGCGGGGCCGGGGGTCCCTAAAGTGGACTTTTTAGGTGCTGAGCGGGGAGTACCGTCCTCTGCCACGGATTCGGCGCCGCAAGCGGGCTCGTCGTAGAGGCCTGCCCGGACTCAATACCTATCCCATTGCTTTGGGAAGGGTATAGATAAGGTGCGGCTGGATAACGTGAGCGCCTCTGCCGACATGGATTCATTGTGGAGCGCGGGGGTGACTGTGGAGGGGTTCTTCCCTCAGGGTTCGCTGAGCTCCGAGGACCGGGGATTGATAGACAGGGTCGGTCCCGAGGACAACCTTGATGTTGTCCAGGTCATGCTGCAGAGAGTGATGGGTATAGTGAGCCACTAGAAGCCTAAGTGGGGCCAACAGCGGGAGGATTTGGCTAAGCAGCAAGAGGACCTGGCCAAGTTGAGGGGCCGACTTCAACCTTGGAAGGAGGCAAACAAGATCCTGAGGGAAGAGAATAAAGCTCTTAGCGCAGCCCTTGGTGAGGCGAAGCGGCACGAGGCTGAGCTCCATTCTGCGCGTGGAGACCTTTCCCGGGTGCAGAAGTCTCTTGAGATTGCGTTGCGATCTAATGAGGCTTATGCCTCTCATGTAGGGGAGCTGCAGGAGCTCGTCGCCTTCTCTCGAGGCCACGCTCGCTCCTTGGAGGATGAGGTGACCTCTAGTCGTGGCCAAGTACAGGCCCTGGAGGACATTGTGACCTCTCTTAAGGGCGAGTTGGCGACGGCGGCTGAGGAGCGCTTCCGTAACGAGGTCTTTCTTGGTGGCCGTGAGGACGAAATTGCCACCTTGAAGGCGGAGCTCGCGGAGCTGGTGGCGGGGAGGGCGGCCTCGGACAAGAGGCTTGCGGAGGTCGAACGCTCCGTTGTGGTTGAACACAAGAGGGGCTTCCAAAAGGCTGCTCGTCAGGCTCGGCTTCTTGCTCCCGGATTCGACTTTTCTTCCATGCATGTGGAGAAAGTCGTCCGCTTTGGGAGGCTAGTCAAGGAGGACGATGCTGACGACAGTTCTGGCGGGGATGCTTCGGCCTAGGCCGCCTTTGTAATAGCTGGATTTATTTTTCTTTGGCTTAAATTGATGTACCAAATTTTGAGAACTTTGTTTGTATATATATATTTTTCTTTATCTTGTCCGTATTTGCGTTCAATTTTGGCTGTTCGCGCTGTTTGAGGCACATGTTTGGTGTCTGCTATATGCTTTTGTATATGGTGATACTTCTACCTTGAGTTGGTGAAGTCGAGATTCGAGGTCGGCCTTAGTTTTTGTTTAGTAGGACTTTTCGTGGGAGTTCGAACCCGACTGAGTGTGTTAAAATTCGTATTCGACCTCGAATTTTGACTAAGTAATTGTTGTGAAAGTTCATAAATGACCCTAGACTGGAGTAAAGGTCCGAATTCGACCGTAAGTTGGTCGTGCCGGGGTTTGAATTTGACCCCGGTATTGAGAGTGGGGTGTGCTTTGCCAGGGTTCAAAGTCGTCCTCAGGTTAGCGGTTTGGACTCGACCTTTAACCTCGACCTTTATCGGGAGCATCGAGGTTCGTACTCGACCTCGGAAATGTCGAGGTTCGAACTCGACCTCAATTTTGGGATATGTTGTTTAGCTAAGGTTCGAACTCGACCTTTAACGAGAGACTCAAGGTTCGTGCTCGACCTCAGGTTTGAGATAGATTATTTAATTAGGGTTCGAACTCGACCTTAGACAGAAGCATCGAGGTTCGTACTTGACCTTGGACAGAAGCATAAGGTTCGTACTCGACCCCGGATTTTCATGTTCGAGGTTCGTGTTCGACCTTGCTTTAAAATGAACAACATAATTAAGGTTCAAATTCGACCTTATGCTGAGAGTCCCGAGGTTCGTACTCGACCCCGGATTTTCATGTTCGAGGTTCGTGTTCGACCTCACTTTAAAATGAACAACATAATTAAAGTTCGAATTCGACCTTATGCTGAGAGTCCCAAGGTTCGTGTTCGACCCCGGATTTTCATGTTCGAGGTTCGTGTTCGACCTCGCTTTAAAATGAACAACGTAATTAAGGTTCGAATTCGACCTTACGCTGAGAGTCCCGAGGTTCGTACTCGACCCCGAATTTTCATGTTCGAGGTTCGTGTTCGACCTCGCTTTAAAATGAACAACGTAATTAAGGTTCGAATTCGACCTTACGCTGAGAGTCCCGAGGTTTGTACTCGACCCCGGATTTTCATGTAAGAGGCCAGTTTAACTTCGAGTGTTACAAAAGCAATTCGTGAGGAAATGGATTGAGCAAAACGTATAATTTTATTGATTTGTTCTTACGTGCCTCGTTAAAAACCCTCTTAGTCGAGGACTGAGGCGGGAAAAGAGTGCACAACTTGTTTGTACTGAAAGTAAAAGAAGATTAAGCAAAAAACTTAGGGAGCTATAGTGGGGGGATTCTCCTCACTTTGCTTGCTCGACGAGGAGATCTTCAGGCTCTCGGCGTAGCATTGCCGAGCTATCTTCTCATTAGCTTTGACGGAGATGACCTGACCGTCCTTGCCCGGGAACTTCATAGTGAGGTGTGGGGTTGACACTACCGCTCCGAGTTGGTTCAAGGTTGGCCTCCCGATGATAATGTTGTAGGAAGTGTTGGCTTCCACGAGGAGGTACCGGACCATGACCCGCCTTGTATCTGGTGGCGTTCTGAAAGTTGTCAGCAAGTCTACGTATCCCCGAGTGTGAACTCGTTCTCCCGCGAAGCCGACTAAGGGCTCCGTGTGAGGTTGAATGAGAGAGTGGGGGACGTCTAGTTTGAGGAAAGTCGGCCAGTACAGGACGTCAGCCGAGCTTCCCTGGTCAATGAGTGTTTTCTGCACTTTCCAGTTGGCTATCTCCAC